CAAATTACTTAGAACTGGTTTGAGACCCCACATGGCCGACTGTCAGGAAGTCATGGGGCTTCTCCTTATCCACTGTGGGTCTCTTGCAGTCATCAACGAGTTTGTTTTAGGCAGTCCAAAAAGGAAAACCAATAGGCTTTTATCCTCAAGCAGAAAAGAATCTGGATTCATTCAGTTGCCACTGCCTTTGCCATAGTTGTTCCTTGCTACACACGGCACCTTTTCCAGCCCAGGTTTTCTTCTGTCTATCCCACACTGCTGGTCCTTTTGTCCCAGAGTTGCCCTATCAGTCACGGTCCTTCAAAGGGCACAGGGTCGTGAGCAAACCCAGTGCTTTGAGGTGAAGCTTCCTTCTCCTTGCATGGGCCCCGGGATCGCAGCTTTTGGTATCTGGACCTGTCACCTACAGCTACTTTTCTCCAAGGTCCTACCCCTTCAGAGATGTTTTGCAAAAGAGGGTGCCATCCTCCTCTCTTCCTAAAATCTGTCACTATTCTAGGACCTAGGGACCACACCAAGGGCTGGGGAGCTTATTTTATTATTTTATTTATTTTTGAGACAGAGTTCTCCTCTTGTCACCCAGGCTGGAGTGCAGTGGGATGATCTTGGCTCACTGCAACCTCCCAGGTTCAAACAATTCTACAGCCTCAACCTTCCACATAGCTGGGATTACAGGTGCTTACCACCACACCCAGCTAATTTTTGTATTCTTAGTAGAGGCAAGTTTTCACCATGTTGGCCAGGTTGGTCTTGAACTCCTGACCTTGGGTGATCTGCCCGCCTCGGCCTCCCAAAGTGCTGGGATTACAGGCGTGAGACACTGCACCCGGCCAGGAGCTTTATTTTTTGTCCACCACACATACTCCCACATCTTCCTCCTGAATTAAACTGTCATCACATTCCTTTCTTTTATACAGCTCCTTGATTGTTTATCACAAACTATCAAACTTCAGAAATGCACACAAAACACAGGTGACCCAATTTTAAAAAGTGAGCAAAAGATTTTAACCAACACATGACAAAAAATATTCAAATGGTCAATGAACATTTGAGAAGGTGCTTGCTTTCCTTAGCCATTAAAGAAATGGACTTTAAAACCACATCCATGAGAATGGCAAAAATGAAAATGAAAGTACCAACTATTAGAGAGGATGTGGAGCAGCCATAACTCTCTGAGACTATTGTTGAATGCATAAATTAGTTACTGCCAGGCACAGTGGCTCATGTCTGTAATCCCAGCACTTTGGGAGGCCAAGGTGGGTGGATCATTTGAGGTCAGGAGTTCAAAACCAGCCTGGCCAACATGGTGAACCCCCATCTCTACTAAAAATACAAAAATTAGCTGGATGTGGTGGTGGGCGCCTATAATCCCAGCTACTTGGGAGGCTGAGGTGGGAGAATCACTTGAGCTTAGAGGGTAGAGGCTGCAGTGAGCAGATATTGCACCACTGTGCTCCAGCCTGGGAAACAGAGTGAGACTCTGTCTCAAGAAAAAAAAAATTAGTTACTAACCACTTTGGAAAACTGGTAGTATCTAACACACATTAACATATGATCCACTAATTTCACTTCTAGGGGTATACTCAACAGAAATGCAAATACAAGGATATATTCACCAAAATACATGTATTAAAAGTTTCATAATTGTACTATTCTCTTTTTTTAATTAAAAAAATGTTTATAATAGAGAAGAGGTCTCGCTTATGTTGCCTACACTGGTCTCGAACTCTTGGACTCAAGCAATCTGCCCACCTTGGCCTCCTAAAGACCTGCAATTACAGGCATGAGCCATTACACCCAGCCATGTACTATTTTTAAAAGCAAAAACGGAAAATTCTCCAAAGGCCCATTAACCAAGACTGGATAAATAAATGGTAGGATATTCACCCAATGGAATACTATATGGCAATGAAAATAAATGATCTGCTTTGACAAAGTTGACGAGCGATCGAGAAAGGACTTCCTATCCAATAAATGGTGCTAGCATACCTGGCTAGCCAAATACAGAAGAATGAAATTGGATCCCTACCTTTCACCATATACAAAAATTAACCCAAGATGGATTAAAGGCAAGTGTAAGACCTAAAACTATAAAAATCCTAGAATAAAACTTAGAAAATATCATTCTGGACACCAGCCTTAGCAAAGAATTTAGGACTAAGTCCTCAAAAGCAATTGCAACAAAAAAATTAACAAGTGGGATGTAATTAAGCTAAAGAGCTTCAGCAAAAGAAACTATCCACAGAATAAGCAGATAACCTACAGAAGGGAGAAAATACTCACAAACCAATATCCAGAATCTAAAAGGAATTTAAATAATTCAATAAGGAAAACACAAATAACCCACTTGAAAAGTGGGCAAAGGACACAAACAGACACTTCTCAGAAAACATACATATGGCCAACAAACATACGAAAAAATGTTCAACATCACTAGAGAAGTGTTCATCAAAGACACAGTGTGACACCATCTCATACCAGTCAGAATGGCTGCTATTAAAAAATCAAAAAATAATAGATGTGGGCAATGTTGCAGAGAAAAGAGAATGCTTATACATTACTGGTGGGAATGTAAATCCACTCAGACACTGTGAAAAGCAGTTTTGGGATTTCTCAAAGAACTTAAAATAGAACCCAGCAATCCCATTACTGGGTATATACCCAATGGCAAATAAATCATCTTACCAAAAAGACACGTGCGCTTGTATTTTCATCACAGCACTATTCACAATGGCAACGACATAAAATCAACCTAGACGGCCATCAACAGTGGACTAGATAAAGAAAATGTGGTACATATACATGATGAAATATTACACAGCCATAAAAAAGAACAAAATCATGTCCCTTGCAGCAACATAGATGCAGCTGGAGGCCATCATCCTAAGTGAATTACTGCCGGAACAGAAAACCCGATACCACATGTTCTCATTTATAAATGGGAACTGAATACACATGGATATAAGGATGGGAAAGATAGATGATGGGGACTACCAGGGAGGGGAAAGAGGAAGGGGAACAAGGGTTGAAAAACTATTAATACCTACTAGGTACTATGCTCACTACTTGGGTAACAGGATCATTCACACCCCAGACCTCAGTATCACACAATTTACCCATGTAACAAACTTGCACATGTACCCCCAGAATCTAAAAGTTGAAATTTAAAAAAAAATTAAAGGTGCTGCTGATTTGCCTTCCACCATGAATAAATGCTCCCTGGGGCCTCTCCACCAGATGCCACCACGTTTCCTGTACGGTCTGCACAGCCATGAGCTGATTAAACCTCTTTTCTTATAAATTAAAATCATAATAGGCCAGGCACAGTGGCTCATGCCTGTAATCCCACACTTTGGGAGCCCAAGCTGAGTGGATCAGGAGGTCGGGAGTTCAAGACCAGGCTGGCCAAGATGGCGAAACCTTGTCTCTACTAAAAACACAAAAATTAGCCAGGCGCAGTAATCCCAGCTACTTGGGAGGCTGAGGCAAGAGAATTGTTTGAACCTGGTGGGCGGAGGTTTCAGTGAACCAAGATCATGCTACTGCACTCCAGCCTGGGTGACAGAGTGATACTCCACCCCGGCCACCAAAAAAAAGAAAAAGAAATGCTGGTAGCGTCTGTTTCTTGACCTGGATGCTGGTGACATGAATGTGTTCACTTTGTTAAAATTCACTGAGCTACATATTTTTGATAAGTGCACTTCTGGGTATATTATACTCCAGTAAATTTTTTAAAATAATATATGTTACTTCATTTTGTGGTCACAATCATATGATAGAGCTAGTATGTCTACTATACACCCGAATAGGTTGAGGCTCAAAGAAACTGAATAATTTACTCAAGGTCATACTGAGAGTATGTGGTTGAGACTGAATTGGAACTAAAGTCTGTTGAAATCCAAGGTCATGCTAAAAGATTACTCAGGCCTTTCTTAAGGTTTGATTGATCCTTGCCAATAATCTTCATAATTCTGTGTCTTTTCTCTACCTGTCTGCTTTCCTAGAGCTTCCATACCTCTCTATTTTACCAGGAAAATTCCTATCAGCTTAATTCCCCTCCTCTGTGAAGTCTGCTTCCCCATCCCTCTCCTCCTTCCCCATCCCTAGCTGTTTGCAACAGGGATCCAAAATTCACATGCCGGCAGGAGCACAGCAGATATTAAATGGGGGAAGCGCTGGGTGTGTCATGGGGAGAAGGGAAGACTGTGATAAATTGCAGATGGCAACCCCCACCTGGAGGAAACAACAGCTACTCAGTTTCAGCCAACTGCTGCAACTCAAGAATGCAGTGTCAAGATGGCAGAAGTCTGGATTTGCATATAAAATCTTCCCTTTAGGATGGGCATGGTGGCTCACGCAAGTAATCCTAGCACCTTGGGAGGCCAAGGTGGGCAGATCACACGGTCTCAGGAGTTCGAGACCAGCCTGGCCAACATGGTAAAACCCCATCTCTACTAAAAATACAAAAATTAGCCAAGCGGGGTGGTGCACACCTGTAATCCCAGCTGCTCAGGAGGCTGAGGCAGGAGAATTGCTTGAAACTGGGAGGCAGAGGTTGCAGTAAGCCGAGACCGCACCACTGCACTCTAGCCTGGGTGACAGAGCAAGACTCCATCTAAACAAACAAACAAAAAAATCTTCCTTTTAAATGCTGACTTTTAAAAACTACAAAAAAAGGTACCATCCATGTCTGCCAAACATAGCATGTCTAAGACTGGATTCAGCTTATGGATTTCAAATTTGCAATCTCTGCTTAGAGCTTGGCAAGATTACATGAGACCCAGCTGATTAAAAGCTGACCAACCTCTTCCCTTGAGATTTGCCTTCTGCCTGCTCCAAGTGTTCTTTAGCTATGACAGATGGAAGTTGTTTACTAAAATTCCAAGCTTTTATTATTACCTTTACTGACAGCCCCCAAAACATGGGAGGAAGAACTGATAGAAGCGTTGTGAGTCCCCTCAAAACCACCACCATCCCTTAACGTCCTATGATGTACTCACTCAGAAACTGTTCCTCAACAGTGGGTTCGTTTCTCGAAGAAGCATGAGAGAAAAAATGAAGCAGCATTTGAAGTAGAATGAAAGCTGCCACACTGGGGCAGTATAACTACATCCTGCTGGCAATCGCCAATCACCTGGGCTTCCTCAGGCCCAACCCCAAATACCTAGAGGAGCCCTGCCTGATAAATAAGGCAGGCCAAGAGGGGGAGGTGTATAGAGGGCGAGTATCAATTTAGGACACCATGTTTTCTGGTTTAAAGCAAAATTGAACTTGAAAATAGCTAGATCCATTTGGTGAGAAAGGATCAGGAAGAAGATTAGAGGAAAACACATTATGAAAGGATCTTATTGGTGTTTTTCCCTTGGGGATTCCTTGCCACTGGCTGTTGTGCTCTGGATAAAACCCAAGTAGAATTTGCTTTCATTAGCAACAAAGAGCCAATTTCTTTTACCTATGCAATGGAGGGGGAAAATGAATAAACAGACCTGGGCCTACAAAAAGGTCATTTCCAAAAGTGTACTATTAGGCCAATTGTTCGAAAGTTGGAATGCAATTTTGCACAAAATCAAATTGATGCTAAGAATTAGATTTTCATGAATGTGTCAGAAGAACCTAGTTAGCCCATAATGAAACTAAAATATTAATTTTTGCAATTGAGAAGAAAAGAGAGTAATACTGTCTTAAGAATGAATAAGAAAACCGAGTAAAGATATTGAATAACTCATCATTTATAAAATATTTGCTTTGTGCAAGATACGGTCAATTTGAGTGTGACGTTTAGGAGATCAGCTGCGGCCTATCAAAGCAGGTTTAGTGGATGAGAGAAACAAAAACCCAATTAAAGTAGGTGAAGGCTAGGCATGATGGCTCACACCTGTAATCCCATGCGGATTGTGAGGTCAGAAGTTCAAGACCAGCCTAGCCAACATGGTGAAACCCTGTCTCTACTAAAAATACAAAAATTAGCCAAATGTGATGGTGGCACCTATAATCCCAGATACTCAGAGGGCTGAGGCAGGAGAATCACTTGAACTTGCGTGGTGGAGGTTGCAGTGAGCTGAGGTCACACCATTGCACTCCAGCCTCGGTGACAGTGTGAGACTCGGTCTCAAAAAAAGAAAGTGGGTGAAGAAGGAAGAGCAGGTGAGAGAGCAGAGCCAAGTGAGATTGTTCTTTGTAGGACCTCCATTAGGGAAAAAGAATGTTGTCCTGATAGCTGGAGGAGGATTCAGGTCTAAGGTATTAAAGCTATTGGTGTTCTCTGATATGCTTTTAGGCTGCTAGTAAACCTAGAGGGAAAGGCAGAGATACAGGTAAAAGGGGCAAAATCAGTTGATCTATGTCCTTGTGCAAAGACTATTAACTATTCCCTGCTGTCTGATCTCTGCCTCCCTTCCTTAGGAAGAGAACTGTCATTTTACTGCACCTAGCTAGAAGACTGCTTCCCCAGCCTCCTTTGTAGCTATGTATAGCCTTGTGATTAAGTTCTGTCCAATAAGTTACAAGCAGACATTTTAGGGACATTTTGGGAAATTATTGACTTGAAGAAAGCCCGTTTGTCCTTCCTACTATCAAAGCATACAAATACTAAAAATATAATTTCCACATATTATCTGAGCACATACCAAAGTATAATTAATCGTTGATGAGGGAAGCTAGTAAGACAGAAACATGTTCAGTAGAAACAAACAAACAAATTTAAAAAACACCAAAAACTCTGAAATAATGTTCTGCAAGGTTAGAAAAACATCTCTCCTGGTTTTTATCTGCAGCTAATCAGTAGTTCTTTTTTTTTAGACAGAATTTCACTCTCATTGCTCAGGCTAGAGTACAACGGCGCAATCTCAGCTCACTGCAACCTCTGCCTCCCAGGGTTCAAGTGATTCTCCTACCTCAGCCTCCCAAGTAGATGGGATTACAGGCGCCTGCCACCATGTGCAGCTAATTTTTCTATTTTTAGTAGAGACGGTGTTTAGCCATGTTGGCCAGGCTAGTCTTGAACTCCTGACCTCAGGTGATTGCCCACCTCGGCCTCCCAAAGTGCTGGAATTACAAAAATGAGCCACTGCACCCAGCCTAACCAGTTCTTCTAAGTTAACATTTAACTCTTCCGTCCTCTTATCAATAGTGCCTAAAGAGAAGTGCATTTCCCAGGAGTGAATGTAAAGCACTGGGAGTTGGACAATGCTTTACATTGGCAGGATATGAAGTCATCCTTTCGCCTTATTTTCAAGTTTAGAGTAATTTTCCTGAACACCACCGTCCTTCTTCCTGCTGACTGGAATGTGGATACGGTGGCTGGAGCTGCAGCAGCCATGAGGATGAAAGCCACAAACCAGGTTAGCAGGACAGAAAAGGAGGGGACTGTGTCCCTGGTGACTGTGGAGCCCCCGTCCCTGGTGACTGTGGAGCCCCCCAAAACGGCTCTGCATCACCTACTTCCGGATTTCTTTTATAACAGAGAAAAAAATAAAGTTCTCTCTTATTTAAGCAACTGCTATTTTGGCTCTAAGATGTAGCCAACGCTTTTTGCCTAATGGAGCAGGAGGGAGAGAAAAGAGAAAGAACTATCTAAACAATGCTCAAATTCACCTGGCAATTGCCCTCAATGAGGTTGTCTACAGGCAGACAGAGAGGGCTTTTAGTGAAACCTACCAAACAAGGTATGAATGATTTAGGGATTTTCTGACCACACACAAATAAGAGAAATGCATTGTTCATACTAGTGGGTAGTAAAGGGTTTATCACAATCTTGTAAGAGAAATTGAAGAACTAACTAAAGACTACAGAGAAACTCATAAAGTTATCCACAAAAACTTAGGTGATGACACCAAATGAGAAATAAGAATATTTCCAACCTGGCCAACATGGTGAAACCCCATCTTTGCCAAAAAATCCAAAACGTAGCTGGGTATGGTGGTGCACGCCTGTAGTCCCGGCTACTCAGGAGGCTGAGGCACGAGAATCACTTGAACCCAGCAGGAGGCAGAAGTTGCAGTGCGCTGAGATGGTGCCACAGCACTCCAGCCTGTGCAACAGTGAGACTCCATCTCAGAAAAAAAAGAAAAAGAAAGAATATTTATAAATTTGTTCAAGTATTTCAAAAATCTAGCTTGATTTATTTTCTCCATATAATCCCTCCTTAGAATTGTATGCTATATATTATAGTATACATTATATAGTATATATACCTTACACCTATAAATACTGTCTACTGGATACACTTACACCTACATATTACTTTACAGAATTGTATTCCCAAAGCTATGTTTGACCTACTGTTATAGGTGACTTAATAAAACTTCTGAGTAGTTCTGACCATATGTGACTCTTGCCTATGGACTGCTTAAAGAATCTAATCTCCATCTTAAGATGTGATTCCACTCCAAAGAAGCTGAAAGGTGATCTGATTAACAAGACTGGTAGAGAGATGAGCCTTAAAACCACAGCGAAGGAGGGAGATTGAAAGCAGATCAATTTGTTGGCTGGGAAGGAGGAAAGTAAACAAGTTCTCAGCTGATAGCCTCAATATTCTCAGTATGAGACAAGCTATCTGTTGAGAACAGGTGGGCAATGGGAGAGGAAGACTTTCAAGATGCTTGGGAATGTGATGCAGCTTTGGAGTCACTGAATAGGGAATGGGTTTGGGAACTGACCAGAAACCCATTGTAAATTGTAAATTGATAAGCAAAAGCACATGCCTAAGCATTGTACATGATTCAGCTCCAAACTGGCATCCTCTTCCTTTCCCCCTATTTCCGGTCCCTGCCAGGGAACCTAGGGGATCGGAAGGGAAAAGATCAAGCTGTTTTCTATTAAGCCTCATCCACTCAGAGTAAACATGGTCCAATCAGTAAACCAGAAAACATGTAGCAAGCTGTGTGATTTGGTTATATTTGTCTAGGAACTGAAGTTTTAGTCATTTGTTTCAAACTTATTTTAGAATTAAACTCATTCTTTGTACAATGTAGACACAATAAATGTTGAATGATTAGCCAAACACAAGAAACTGAAGATTTTATAGCTGTCCAAGTTCTGCAGAAGCCATTGTTTAGAAAAAAATTTGTCACGAAATGAGTCCTTTAAATGGCAACAAATTCACCCGTACCCCACCTGGGAAGACCTCTGGAATTTGAGGTCCCTGTCATTGCTGTTTCTTCTCTCTTCTGAGGTCATACCTTCCCCTCTCTTAAACGATACTTCCCTTGAAGTCAAACAGAACTGGGGAAAGGAGGCTTGAGAGAAAAGGGCTGAGTGTGAACATTACAACCTTACATAACAGACATTTTTATCTCACAATTTAAACCTCATACTGTTTTCCCCTTAGTGGCTATATTTGTTTTTGAGAACACAGTATTTGAAAACTGCATGCTGTGCTGAATTGCTCTCCAGTATCCAGTCTGCCCTGGGACTTTGTGATATCGTCAGAGTGGTTGGCTATGTTTGCGTTTGATGGACACGATGCTAATGAAGCAGTGCGGTGTCTTTTGTGGCTAGACAGTGGGAAGTGCTCTTTGTGTCCTTCTGGGTTTTAACAATAATCAGATTTTTAAAAGGCAGGAGGCAGAATCTGACAGAGACCTTCTAGCACTGGTCATCTCTTCTCATGAACATGGAGCTCAGTGTCTTAATATTTAAAGGGAGGGTAAGCTCAGTTTGCCATGAAAGGAAGGAAACCATTTCTTTCTGCAGAAGGTGAATTTCTCCAGTACCTAAAGAATTTAGTTGAGCCAAGACATGGAAGACTTCCTCTTCGGGACAGAGGCAAATGTGACCCTGAATGGAGAATAGACTGGGTTTAGAACAAAGTTAGCAGACTCAGAGAACTTGGTTTGAACTCCCTCCAAAAGTCACAAAATAAGAACTTTGTACCCAACTTGTGTGACAGTAAGCCACTTTCATCTTACTTTGCCTGCCATTGTAAGAGAGCTGTTGATACAACAAAGAAAAGGATGGCAGGTTTGCCTCTGGGCTACAAATGCAGAGCCAGGTCATCTTTATTGTGTTCCACTCTGTACCAGACAGAAACCAACATATAAAGAAAGGATGTCCCATGTTCAAAGTAGGTGACCTCAGCCGCGCACAGTGGCTCACACCTGAAATCCCAGTACTTTGGGAGGCCAAGGCAGGTGGATCACTTGAGGTCAGGAGTTTGAGACCAGCCTGGCCAACATGGTAAAACCCAATATCTACTAAGAATACAAAATCAGGCTGTGCACAGTGGCTCCCAACACTTTGGTAGGCTGAGGCAGACAGATCACCTGAGGTTAGGGGTTCAAGACCAGCCTGGCTAACATGGTGAAACCCCGCCTCAACTAAAAATACAAAAATTAGCCAGGCACAGTGGCTCATGCCTGTCATCCCAGCACTTTGGGAAGCCAAGGCAGGTGGATCACAAGCTCAGGAGTTAGAGACCATCCTGGCTAACATGGTGAAATACCGTCTCTACTAAAAATACAAAAAAATTAGCCGAGCATGGTGGCGCATGCCTGTAATCCTAGCTACTCAGGAGGCTGAGGCAGGAGAATCGCTTGAACCTGGTAGGTGGTGGTTGCAGTGAGCCTAGACGGCACCACTACATTCCAGCCTGGGCAACAGAGCAAGACTCCATCTCAAAAAGAAAAAAATATATCTATATATGTGTATATATATATAATATATACATAAAAATTAGCCAGGCTCGCACCTGTAATCCCAGCTACCAGGGAGGCAGAAGCAGAAGAGTCGTTGGAACCTGGGAGATGGAGGTTGCAGTGAGCCTAGACGGCACCACTACATTCCAGCCTGGGTAACAGAGCGAGACTCCATCTCAAAAAAAAAGAAGAGAAAAATTAGCCGGGTATGGTGGCACATGCCTGTAATTCCAGGTACTCTGGAAGCTGAGGCAGGAGAATTGCTTGAACCTGGGTGGTGGAGGTTGCAGTGAGCCGGGATCACACCACTGCACTCCAGCCTGGGCGACAGAGGGAGATTCCATCTCAAGAAACAAAACAAAGTCAGTGGCCTCAGAAGAAGCCAAGCCCTGGGGCAGCCACAACAAAGTCAGGAAGCAGCTGTCCCTGTACCCCCATGAGGGTCTGTGTGTTGCTGCCAGTAGACCAGGTTGGGGAGCTGGACATGGAAGGTGAGGGGCTGGCCTCTTTCTCAAAAAGGGATGCATTCCAATAAACGTGATAGAGAAAACCACAATGCAGTAATGATCAAACTTACATGCAGAGGAGGAACAGAACAAGGGCGCGTTGGTGAGGAAAACACAGCCACTGTCCATAGAAAGAAGGTAACTTGTGCCAGGCGCAGTGGCTCACACCTGTAATCCCAGCACTTTGGTGATTGAGACCATCCTGGCCAACATGGTGAAACCCCATCTCGAAATTAAAAAAAAAAAGAAGAAGAAGATAACTTGCTAGGACAATAGCACACTTTTACAAGATCTTGGCTCACTGCCTCCTGGGTTCAAGCAATTCTCATGCCTCAGTCTCCCAAGTAGGTGGGATTATAGGCATGCACCACCATGCCTGGCTAATTTTTGTATTTTTAGTACAGACAGGGTTTCACTATGTTGGCCAGGCTGGTCTTGAACTCCCGACCTCAGCTGATTCACCCACCTCGGCATCCCAAAGTACTGGGATTACAATCATGAGCCACCACATCTGGCCAAGGCAGAGGATTTAAATATTAACCACGAATTAAGATTTAGAGTCCTTCAAATTTTTAGAGCTCTAAGTAAAACTGAAAGAGCTGTTTGAGCAGTGCTTCTTCTGATATGAGCCATTCTGAGACTGGACCTTGCAGGTTGTGATTCCACACGTGCAGTCCGAACAAGATAATGAGGCTCGTAAATTGAGAAAACGGAAATATTTCTCTTTGACTATTTCAGGTACTTCCTTTGCCACTCCAGCCCAATCATGTGCCAACTTCTTAATAATCTACATATTATGACAGCAGAATACATCCTACTGATCACCCATTTAAAATTAAGCATTTGTATGCAAAGCAGTTTTCCAAGAATCTGGTAATAAGGAATATAAAGCTCTACTATAAGGGCTTAATTCCAAAAGAGTTTTAAAGTGGCCATCAAAAGAGAGATACAGATTGCATAGCAAATAAACCAGAAGGGCATGTGGACCCCATATCTTAAAAATGCCGCAGTTAGGCAAGGTGCGGTGGTTCATGCTTGTAATCCCAAAACTTTGGGAGGCTGAGGTGGGTGGATCATTTGAGGTCAGGAGTTTGAGACCAGCATGGCCAACATGGTGAAAACCTATATCCACCAAAATACAAAAATTAGCCCGGCATCGTGGTAGGCACCTATAGTCCTAGCTACTCGGGAGGCTGAAGCATGAGAATCATTTGAACCCAGGAGATGGAGGTTGCAGCTGAGACTGCACCACTGCACTCTAGCCTGGGTGACAAAATGAGACTCTGTTTCAAAAACAAAACAAACAAACAAACAAACAAATGGGGGTGCTGGCAAGGTGGCTAAATAGGAACAACTCCTGTCTGCAGCTCCCAGTGAGACCAATGCAGAAGGTGGGTGGTTTCTGCATTTCCAACTGAGGTACCTGCTTAATCTCACTAGGACTGGTGTAGCCTACAGAGGATGAGTAGAAGCAGGGTGGGGGTTGCCTCACCCAGGAAGTGCAAGGGATTGGTAAACTCCCTCCCTTAGCCAAGGGAAGCCATGAGGGACTGTGCTATGAGGGATGGTGCTGTCCAGCCCAGATGCTACACTTTTCCCACAGACCAGGAGATTCCTTAGGGTGCCTACACCACCAGGAGATTCCTTAGGGTGCCTACACCACCAGGGCCCTGGGTTTCAAGCACAAAGCTGGGCAGCCATTTGGGAAGACACTGAGATAGCTGCAGGAGTTCTTTATCATACCTCAGTGGCACCTGGAAACCCAGTGAGACAGAACCATTCACTCCCCTGGAAAAGGGGCTGAAGCCAGGAAGCCAAGTGGTCTTGCTCAGGGATTCCCACCCCCACAGAACTAGCAAGCTAAGATCCACTGGCTTGAAATTCTTGCTGTAGGCACAGCAGTCTGAAGTCCACCTGGGATTCTAGAGCTTGGTGGGGGAGGGGCATCCTACATTACTGTAGGCAGTTTCCTCTCAGAGTGTAAACAAACCTGCCAGGAAGTTCTAGCTGGGTAGAACCCACTGCAGTGCAGCAAAGCCACTGTAGCCAGACTGCCTCTCTAGATTCCTCCTCCCTAGGTAGGGCATCTGAAAGAAAGGCAGCAGCCCCAGTCAGGGGCCTATAGATAAAACTCCCATCTCCCTTGGGCAGAGCACCTGGGAGAAGGGGTGGCTGTGGGCACAGCTTCAGCAGACTTAAACGTTCCTGCCTGCCAGCTCTGAAGAGAGCAGCTGATCTCCCAGCACAGTGCTCGAGCTCTGCTAAGGAACAGACTGCCTTCTCAAGTGGATCACTGACCCCCATGCCTCCTGACTGGGAGACAACTCCCATCAGGGGTCAACAGACACCTCATACAGGACAGCTCCTGCTGGCATCTGGTGGGTGCCCCTCTGGGACAAAGCTTCTAGAGGAAGGAGCAGGCAGCAATCTGCTGGTGATACCTGGGCAAACAGGGTCTGGAGTGGACCTCCAGCAAACTCCAGCAGACCTGCAGAAGGCAGGCCTGATTGTTAGAAGGAAAACTAACAAACAGAAGGTAATAACATCAACATCAACAAAAAGGACACCCATGCGAAAACCCACTCTGAAG